CGCTGGGACGCAGGGCGAGCTCCTCAAGTCAACCGTTGCTTCCACCTATCTCCAGAGGCCATCCTCACAGCGCAGCTGGAGAAGGGCTTTACTTCCAATTCACCTTTTTATATATGCCTTCTTCCAAAAAATAAAAAGCAACGGCTTATTACCAGCTATGCTTCCTTCTTTAAACATTCCTGCCATAATTAGGACCAACTGGAACCTGTGCTTACAAGTATCCTACAGAAGTAAGCTCACGAGTTTCCTGGAAGGATGAAAACGAATTTGGTCTCCTTGTCTCTCCAGATAGCACCCACCTGCGCTGAGGCAGAATCTAGTTGAGGGACACCTTCAAGGTACCGAAATCAAATAGAAATCACAGGTGAATGCCCAACTTACTTCTTTTTGTATTTCAGAAATGGGGTGCTGAAGGTCCTTGCCTCCCTTAGAATGTATTTGTAACTATTGGAAGGTGTTTGGCTTTACATGATTAAAAAAAAAGAGCCATGTGATATTTTTCTGCACAAGTATGTGGCCTGCCTACCCTCTAGAGCCAAAATAGAATGCAAAGGAAAGTATTAATTATCATGTTCTTTAACAACTAAAATGGTACTGCAAAAAAGAGGGGAAGGAGCTGAGGAGATGGCTCAGTGGACTAAGTGCTTCCCTGACAAGCACAAGTGCCTGAGTTCAATCCCCAGTTCCGCAAAAAAAAAAAAAAAGGGAAATGGTCAAAATTGCCTTTTGCTCAAACTTTTTTTAACATTACATAATTCTTATTTATGCTCAAGTATAATTACAACTCCTATGAGACGATCCATGTTCATATGGGTCTCTCAGTGACCTACAGCAAATCAAGCTAGAACTAGGAGAACTTTCAGATGACCCTGATAAGTACACTGAGGTCTTTAGAGGATTTACTCGGACTATAAGCTAGGCTGGAAAGATACGATGTTAATCTTAAATTAATCATGGACTTCTAACGAGAGACAAGCAGCATTACAAGCTCGCATTACATTTGGGGACGGCTATCATACTGTTAATTTTAAACAGCCACAAGTTAGACCTCCAGCGGAAAGAACCAGTTTGCAATGGAGCCCAAGCAGTCCCCAACCAAGACCCCTGTGGGCCCAATAGCCAGACAGGAGACTGGAGAAGAGGACATTTTCAAGTGTGTATTCTTGAAGGTCTAAGGACAAAAACAAGCCTTCTAATTATTTTAAACTGTCAGCGATTCATAAAGAGAACGATGCAAAGTCCTTTGCCTCTCTGGATTGTTTACTAGAGGCAATGGTAAAACACGTCCATGGCTCCTAATTCAATGGAAGGACAGATTTTGCTTAAAGATATGTTTATCACCTCGTCAGCCCCACACATTAAAACAAAAGCTATGAAAGAATTTTTACTCCAAATAGCCCACTTGATACTTTTGTTTCAAAAGCCATCTTAGGGCTGGGGAGATAGCTTGGTAGGCTAAACACCTGCCTGGCAAGTGCAAGGACCCAGGTTCAATACCCAGTACCACATGCTGTGCCGGCCCCAGAACACCAGGCACACCATGCCAGCCACAAAATCAGGTGTGGTGGGGCATGCCTGTAATCCCAGAGCTGAGGAGGCTGAGACAGGAGGATCAGCACAAGTCCGAGCTGCACAGCGGGACCCTGTACCAAATAAATAATATCAGATTTAAAATAAATAGCTGTCTTAGTACTCTATAATCGGGACTGGGAGAAAGCCAAGGAGAAAAACACTAAAGAGATAAAAAAAAAAAAATGGCTGCCTTTGTTGTGGTCTTAAAAAATACAAACCCTGAGTCTGATTCTCAGGGCTCCAAGGAGAGCTCAACACCTAGCTCAACCGCCCCTACTGTGGAAGCCAGGCCACCTAGGAGGGCCTGCCTTAAGAAGTCCCCGGAGCCATGCCTTGACAGCAAAGGCAGCCCCCTGAAAGCTAGACTACACTTGGAGGCAGAGGCCCCGGAGTTCAGCTTCCGCCTCCCAAGTGGTCTAGCAAGACTAAAGGGCTTGGAGCACTCTGTCCCCTCCCTCTGGCTGCACCGTCATCTCTACTGGTCATCTCCATGGAGGAGCCCTGAGTAATCGTTATTAGAGAGGACAAAACAGCCTACTGCTAGACACTGGCACATGTGTCCTTGTCCTTCTCCCATTCACACCTTCCCTCAGGCATCACCCCGCAACAAAAAGTCACCAAAAATATCTCACTTAATGTGTACCTGGGATAACTTTCTCTTTACCCATTTCTTCCTTGAGCTTTACCATACATTTTATCATATCATATGATATTATATTTATAATATACATATAAACGTTTTTTATAAATATATATATATATACACATCCAACTAATCAAAATGACACTGAGACTTTTGTTCATATACAAAAATTTTAAAAGGTTTTTCCTTGATCAAAATAACATGTTATTTTGGTTCTCATGAGTCATCAAAAATGTACAGATAATTATAACAAAGCTAGAGAGACTTACGACAAAATGTCAGACTCCATTAGCAAAGTGGTCTAAGTGGGTCGTAACGCTATGCCAGTTCCTTCAGAACGGTAAAGCGCCCGCTAAGGCAGAGCGCGGCGGCCAGCGGTTCATCCCTAGCTAGCATGCGGTGCCGGCCCCGCCCAAGGGGGCATGGGGACAGTGACTGGGACTGGATGTGGCGCGGCGGCCAGAGGTTCACCCCTAGCTAGCACGCGGTGCCGGCCCCGCCCCCAGGGGGCACGGGGACAGTGACTGGGACTGGACTTGGCGCGGTGGCCAGCGGTTCATCCCTAGCTAGCACGCTGTGCCGGCCCCGCCCCCAGGGGGCATGGGGACAGTGACTGGGACTGGATGTGGCGCGGCGGCCAGAGGTTCACCCCTAGCTAGCACGCGGTGCCGGCCCCGCCCCCAGGGGGCACGGGGACAGTGACTGGGACTGGATGTGGTGTGATCCCAGCGCTTGGGAGGATGAAAACAGGAGAGTCACTGTGAGTCTGATCTATGTAATATGACCCTGCAACCCCTGTACCAAATGCAAAAAGAAAAAAAAGTTTCTAAATGTATCTGTCAGCTGTAGTGCTCAGGCTTTGATTATACATACTGTAATTTCTTGGAAAATTGTTCTGGTCCAGACGATGCCGAATCCCAAGTAACTATACAGATAAAACCAATAAGAAATATGCTAGATTCCTTTTACCAGGATCCACCAGATCTTGTCCAGGGAGGGGATTAACCAACTGTACTCAACAGGTCTTAAATGAGATGACAGCTGGTCTCTCTTCTAAATAAAGAAATAAAATTAATAAGACCAGCCATCCTCCAAAACTGGATGACATTAAACATGCTAACAGCAGCACAGGAGACACTTCTGCAATTGTAAAAACTAAACGTTGCGTGCACAGTCCCGGTCCCTCTGCTAATATCTCAATAGCTGTTTAAGTTACTAGACAACAGAACAATGACACATGGGTCTCTGAAATTCTCTGGACCTTATCTTTATCCTTTTTATGAGAAGCAATTACTAGCTCCTCTTAGTGGAAATCTTTGTTGACAGTATTCATAATTATCCTTTGATCCTATTATTTGCCCCATGAATACTTATTTGTTTCTTTGGTTTTATCTGGTCCAGCTAAAAGCTTTACATCTACCTACCATGAAAATGCCTAGTGTCTATCACGGCCAGCATCTCTGACTGCCAGTTAGTAACTGTGACCCCCCTTTAGCCTGAAGAAGCCAGGTTGGTCATCACCCATTACTCCCCCACAGCAGTGAGGGGTACTTCTTCAGAGGGGGGGATGCAATAGGCAGCTAAGTTAAGATAAAAATATTCTAGACAGTCAGCCAGGACTAGGCCCTAAAAGGAGCCAGCGCAGAAGAGATGCCTTGCAACTGTGGGGGCGACAGGCACCTCCACTGTGGGCCAGACCTAAGGACAAAAGGTAGAACATATGCAGCCACGTACTTCCTAAGAATAAACAGCAGGGATGGATACTCTACACAGGTGTAGATCACCTTGAGGAAACCAAAAAGAGCCACTAACCCAACTCCCTACAGGAAAAGCCCCCGTTATGCATCCAGGCTTGCTTGGTATACGATGTGTTCCACCATTTGATCCCAATTTAATCCGTTTTACCTGAGCAATTACGTTCATAATCCTCTTGGTTGACCATAGTTTTGTCTCAGCTCATGCCCACCTTGCAATTTCCCATTTTCCCCCACCTTGGACCTGCCTCACCTTATGACCTGCTCTACGAAAATCCCCAGAAAAGGCAGGGTTGTTGGCGACCCACGTGGGGCCCCTTCTTTCTCTCCCTCTCAGACAAAAGTTTTCTTTCCCCCAGTAAGTATATTCTTGCTCTTTGAAAAAAATCCAAGGCCAAAGAAAAACAAAATGAGTAACACTGCCGGCTGAGTAACAGTAACATGATGTTAGCAGAGGGGAATGAACTATTTTCTTCCTGGAGAAGTGATCTGGATATTATATATTTTAATTAATGGTGCAAATTAAAACTGAAATAAGCTACAATGCCAGAAACAAATCTAAAATAATACATGTAAACCAACAACACCCAGATATATGCCAGTCTACGAGCCATACCTGAAACATCCATACACAGAAAGGTTGTAAAACAATAAAGAAGAAAACACTAGGTAATTTACTATTAATAACAAAAACACTTAAAGAAACTTGTTTTTGAATGTCCAGATTATACCCTGAAATAGTGAAACTGGTGGCCAAGGAGAGACTGAAGTTAAAGAAGACTGGGAGAAACAGCCTGAGTTTCTGACCGCTCTCAGGCCCCGTGGCCAGTCCTCTGTGAAGCACCCTAGTGGCTCTTTCAGTTTCTTAGAGCACCCAGATATTCTTACCATTTTCCTTCTTTCTTTAAGTAGGTTGAAGCAGACGTCAGGTACTTGCAGCTGAACAGGTTTTACTACAACAGTGCCCCCTGTGGGCACTTACAGATACTATTCAACTAAAGAAAGCCACGAACAGTAAGTAGCAGACTCACCATCATCGGGTTTCTTCACGAATTTGACTCCCAGTTCTTCAAATCTTTTACAAGCATCATATACATCAGGAACAGCAATTCCAATATGACCTTAGGTGACACCACGACCACCCCAAAAAAAAAGAGGAAAGGAAGAAAGATGTCAAGTGCCAGGAGTGGCTCCCAACACATAATACAAAACATAAAGCATTTGAAAACAGACTGATCTAAATAGATTTAAAATCAGGGCCGGGGAGACAGCTCAGTGGAATAAGTGCTTGCCTGGCAAGCACAAGGTCCTGAGTTTGATCCCTGGTAACATAAAAAAAAATAATAATAATAAACAGATTTAAAATTTGTAATACACTAAACAACAAAATCAGTATAATGGGATAATTAGTTGATTTGACTTATAAATTATTCTAAATAAGTCAAGACTAGCTCATCTATAGTTCACACTGTTCATAACCTATACCAGCTGCGCATGGTGGGGCATCCCTGTAATCCTCAGCACTCTAGAAGGCTGGAGAGAAGGATCAGAAAGCATCATATACAGCAAAAAATCCGAACCCAGCCTGGGCAACTCAGGAAGTCTCTATCAAAAAGAAAGGAAGGAAGGAAGGAAGGAAGGAAGGAAGGAAGGAAGGAGGGAGGGAGGGAGGGAGGGAGGGAAGGAAGGAAGGAAGGAAGGAAGGAAGGAAGGAAGGAGAGAGAACGAACAAATGAAACAAAGAAAGAGAGAGAAAGCACAAGGGCTGAGGACGTAGCTCAGTATAGACTCTAGGTTCCAGCTTCAGTGCAAAACAAAACCACCTCACCAAAACAAAAACAATACTGTACCAGTACAAGAGTAATCACTGGCTCATACATAATAGATTTGCTGTTAGCACTGACCCACTGAAGCCTGTAATTCTCTCGTCTTGATTTGCGAGGTTTTAGAACAAGGCGGAAGTATACACTGGCAGAAACGGGGATTTCTATTCATCACAGCTGGGTTTTCATTAATAAAAAGCCTACTGGAAATACAATACTGAGACTTAAAAGTAAAATTATTATGAGGACAAAAGATTCTGAAATTATACAATCCCATATAAGATTTATAGGCAATAAACCATACTTCTTTTTTTTTTTTTTTTTTTTTTTTTGAGAGAGAGAGAGAGAGAGAGAGAGAGAGAGAGAGTGGTGTGTGTGTGTGGCCAGCTCAGCCCACCAGGGGGCGGGGCTGGCCGGCATGTGGTGCTGGGGGATTGAACCGCGGTCCCTGATGCTTTGCCAAGCTTGTTCTAAGTAGGTGCCTTAGACCACTGAGCCATCTCTCCAGCCCAATAAACCATACTTCTATTAAATTGATTATACATGGTATTTAGGCCACGAATGCTTCGGATGTGGACCAGCGCATCTGCACAGAAACACGCACAGGCTTGTACCACACACACAGGCAAACCTACCGAATCCCCGAGGGTCCGAATTACCGTTGTGGTAACTCTGGCCGTCGTCGTCCTCAGTGCCCCAGTTGCTACAAAAGAAGGGGAGACATAACTCGGAGTTCTGGCCCACAGAACAGACATTCTGAAACGAAAGCGCTTTCAAATCTTACAGTCATAACTATATGACTGTTGCTACTACAAATATTAAAAATTTCCCCTTGCTATTATAAATATTAAAATCTTCAACTGTAGAAAGGACAAGCAGGCACTGTATGACTTTAGATCGAAGAGACGGTACAATGAGGTACCTCGATAAGAGCAATAACTTTAAGTTAAAAATTCCTTAGTATTTTATTCCTGGTACCACTACCACAATTTCCAGGGCAATATTCCTGATGTATTGAAAAGAAAGAAAGAAAAAAAAAGCTACAACAGAAAAAAATGAAGACCTCAGGACTGTACGTCTGCGTGACGCTACCCTACATTAATTTTTTTTTTCCCTGCATTAATTGATAGCTGCACTTTTTGCAAACTGTGGCCACGACAGTCCTGAGCCAGAAGGGTTTCCTGTTGACGCTGCAGGAACTTTTCTGACCACGGGTCATCGTTCCCTCTGTAGCAGATTTTCTTTTTTTTCTGTGGCAGAGTTTTACACTTCCCCTAACGCATTAGGGACAACTGTCTCCAAGGAACCTGTAGCTTTCCTGACAATTCCCCACTCTCTCTCCTGCTAAGAACTGTAGCCCTTTTGCTATTTTTTTTTAAACCTTTTGCTACCATATCCACTCCCTCTACCACCAGATCCATAGCCACCACCACAGGGACAGCCAGAGCTTCTTCCACCAAAACTGCCCCCCTTCCTGGGTCCATAATTTAACTATTGTTGTCTACTACAATTTCTGAAATCACTACAGTTCCCATCACCACCACAGTTCCCTCCATCCAAATTTTCTCCTTTGCTATAACCATCGCATCATTTTGTACCACAACCTCCTCTACTGCTACTGTGACCAGGACTACCACCATAGGTACCACGATCACCTCCAAATCCGTTCTATCCACCATCCCCTCCTCCATAATTACTCCTGCTGCCACCTCCTTTACTACCACAGCCTCCTCTTGCACCAGTTTCCACCACGCCCAGAATTCCCTCCACCAAAGTTTCCTCCATGGCCCATAAATTTGCCAGATCCCCCCACGACCTCTTTGTGATCCAGCAGACTACATCTCCTGTTTAGAAAGTGCCTTCTAATTCACAGTCATGCCCATTAATAGTGTGGTCTTCTTGAATAGCAATTTTATCAACTGTATCGTGACCCTCAAAAGTTACGAAATCAAATCCTCTTTTACCCACTCTGCCTGTCTTTAATAACTTCTATGGTTTCAATCTTGCCATACTTTTCAAAGCAGTCTCTCAAATTATATTCTTCTGTATCTTCTTTAATACTGCTGACAAAAGTTTTCTTCACTGTTAGTTGGGCACCAGGCTTTACTGAATCCTCTCTGGAAGTAGCTCTCTTTGGTTCCACCACATGTCCATCAACCGTGTGTGTTCCAGCATCCACCTCTTCAGCACAAGAGTGAGGTGCAAAACCAAAGCCCCTGGAGCGTTCTGTTTGGGGATCTCTCATTACCACACAATCAGGGAGTGTGCTTCATTTCTCAAAATGTTCTCTTAAGCTATCATCTGTGGTTTCAAAGCTCAGACTATCAACAAACAGCTTCAAGTGCTCTGGTTCCTTTGGACCATGGCCCTCTTCCCCCAGAGGAAGTTGGGTTGGAGGGCGCCCATTTTACCTCCATTCTGAGATCAAACTTGTCTCTTCCAACTCAAGTTCCATAAGGGACCAACAGCAATAATCTTAACAGTAACTACCATCTGTTGTGTTAAGCATGTCCAAAAGCTCCATGGGCTAGCTTCGAATACTTCCATTTTATAGATGACCAGCAACCTAGAGAGGTGCTACAATTTGTTTGGGGTCACAGACCGAGCATTGGCGCTAAGATCAATGCCTAGGTCTGTCTGACTCTGAAGCTTTGTGCTGAAGCAAGGGCTACCCACTAAATCACACACCTGGAAACAAAAGCTTTTTTGGTAGCTGTTAAAGGGTGCAGAGAAAATATGTTGAGAAATAAAAAGGAATTCAGCCATGGTGACACGTGCCTGTGATGACACTCTGTGGGCCTGAGGCAGAAGGATCACATGTTTGAGCCTATTAAGGGCAATTTAGCAAGACCCAATCTCAGAAAAAAAATATGAAAAAAGGGCTGGAGATACAGCTCAGTGTGAAAGGGCTGGGCTCAACCCCTAGTGTTATAAAAACAGAAATAACTTTTTTTAAAAAGCAATGTTTATTTCTACATTTTTTAATATTGAAATTATAAAAACACCTTAAAATTTGAAGGTTAATTATAAAATGGTTTGATGATTTAATTAAATGGTTTTAAAAAAATCCAAATCAAAATACAATGAAAGAAACTTTAACCCATAATTTATAAAAACACATACTTACTGTGTCAACTCAAGTGTAGCTTTCCTGGAGAATACCCATGCTATGTTTTCATTTTTGTCTTTGGGGATATCATTTTTATCCTCATAAGCCAAGAAATAGAGTGAAAATTTCGCACTTGGAAAATCGAATTTTTGGAGCAGCCTGAAAATTTAAAAAGTGACAAGCCTAAACCATTAACAAGAAAAGCTGATTCATAATATCAAAATAATAATATTTAATTCTATGAAAGAAAAGCTAAATACAGTAAAGCAATTCTAACAGGAAAACCAAGAGAAACATCAATGAAAATCATCTCATTTTTAAATGTCTATTCATCTGTAGATATCAGTGAAAAACAAATTTGTAGTTCAATTCTTCAAATTTGGGGGCCTGCCCTTAGCCCAGTTGCTTCCTGCTCATGCAAACGCAGTCAGGAGCAGGATACCGCGGTTCCATCCCCAGCTCCACCTGCCTTACCAGACCTGCCCTTCAGGCACCCTGAGCCACCAAAGGAAAAAAAAAAACAACTTCAAATTTAATAAAATGTAACCAGAAATATACTTGTTTATAAATAGAAAAAGGATGTCCAACAGAGTTTTAGTTTTAGAGAACAGTATTTATTACCCCATTCTTTCAGATATATTCCATTCGGTTAAATACATACATGCATTTACTGAATTCTTACCAGGCCAAAGCTTCTAGGAAAGGAGACTGAGGGGAGACGTGAGACAAGGAAGAGTAGATTAATATCATAGAAAGAAATCTCAACAATAGGGTGCTTAACAACATCAAATGTCACAGAAAGGTAAAACAGGATTGACACGTTCCTGCTGGCTTGAACTGCTGGTCATACATGCATGACTGTCCCATTAGACCTTCTACCACTGGTGGTACAAACGGGTCTCTTATTAGTCTTCTTACTAATAAAATTAATAAAAAGTCTGGCCTGGCAAGCGCAGGGTCCTGAGTTCAATCCCCGGTACCACAAAAAAAAAAAAAAAAAAAAGTCTATAAATGAACTGAATCTAGTTAACTGTTTAAATTTGACTAACGACTTTCTAAATATAAATTAATACTATTCATACCAATCAAAAAGTATTATAATAATCAATATATTTATTTGTTTCCCCAAATTAAAAGAAATCGATTTAGCAAGGCATGGTGGCACACAGCTGTGATCCTAGCATTCAGCAGGCTGAAGCAGGAAGTTCGTTGTGAGTTTGGGGCCAGCCTGGGCTGCACAGTGAGTTTAGAGCTAGCCTGAACTATATAGCAAGATCCTGTCTCAAAAAAACCTGGCAGAGGCTGGAGAGATGGCTCAGTGGTCTAAAGCACCTACTTGAAACAAGCTTGGCAAAGCACAGGGA